AAGTGCTGAGACAGTGTTTGAACAGATGGGTAACTCTGAGAAGAGAGACTAAACGAAGCTTAACTTGAATTCAGAGCTGAAAAACATCCTACAGGGATCTGAACGACTTCAGTTTCAAGGCTCTGACGCCTCCAGATTGCATAAAATTAATTTTATTGTATCATGTCCCCTCTTCCAACTGGTGAAGCAGTCTTGCAAGAAACTGCAAAAACTCTTGCTCTTCCCCAACTCAGGACATTTGCTACCAAGAGCTACAGGAAACACACGTACTTACCTGTAAGCCATAGCCGGGGACTCTGGAAGGAGCAGGTTTCCAGGAGGAGCTGTTCATCTTCTTCTGAGACCTAAATTAAAAAACAGAATAGTGCTTTTGAAGCAGATAAAATAATACTGTGTTCTTGACTTTCAATATTGAAATGTCATGAAAAGAATTTCACGAGGCAAACCCCATGAAGTTACATAAAGAAGCACTCAGGCAAATCAAGAGCATTAATTAGAAAGATAAAATTCAGAGAAGACTAGAAAAAGAAATGAAAAATCAAATCAACCTGGAAACACGGTATTTTTACCACAAAAATTCAACACATACTTATTTTTGCTTCGCTCCTCATCACTGCTGTCGCTTTCGCTGCTAGAGCTCCGACGTCGATGTTTCTTGTGCTTCTTCTTCTTCTCTTTCTTCTTCTTTTTCTCCTTTTTATCTAAACTGTTTTGCAGCTATAAAGCAAGACGTCATTTCATTAGTAGCAGCTACTGTCTCTACTCTTGGACAGCCACCATCACGTGGCAAGGCAAGCAAGTTCTCTGCAGAAAGGCTCCTGGAACTAACATAAACCATTTAACAAGGTCCTCTCTCTGAACTAAGGAGCTTAACAGAGTCTTCCCCGGTGTCGGTTTGGTATTAGCACATGTCAAATCCCAGGCCTGCGATCACTCCGTAGTACTAAGTCAGCCATTAAGCACTAGCTAAAAAAAAAAGCACACCGGAAGGGCAAGAAGAATAAAATAACACTGAGTTTGAAAGGAAATTAATCCCCGCCGAGAGACGCATAGAGAACCTCGTTCTATTATATAAGGATTACAGAAAGCTGAATTTATTCTCTTCTTCTCTGAGGAGTCAGGAAACAGAACTGAGCTCCTAATCCTAAATGATACTAATTCTGACCTGTTATCCTCTCCTCGTGTGAGTATATTCTGTGCTTTGAGTTGTAAAGCAGTACTGAGATATACCTACCAATTCTTTGATTTTCTTCATTTTAACGGGATTATTCAAAACTTCTCTCTTCTTTTCCTCCTCCCTCTTTCTAAAGGAGAAACAAAATAATTACAATATTCAAATAACTGAAAATACCACATTTTCACAACAGATGCCAATCAAGTGCAAGCTCTAAAAACATACAGAGCAGAAAAATGGGCAAGTTTTGTACATTCAGCAAAATAAATCCAGCTAAGGAGGAGTCTGCCCTCTTCTCCTCCACTTAGGAGTGCAACTAGTAGGGTAAACAAAAATCAACTTTCCTACAACGCTAATAAATACCTGAGCTACCACAGCAGACCAGATATACTCATGCACATAAAAAAAGATGAAGTTAAAGACAAATCAAAGCAGAATAACAATCTTTGCGTTTATACCAACTTATCAGCTTCCAGCTAGGTGACCTACACGACAACGATCAGCTTTGTTTGAGTGACGAAAATATCAGATTTGAAATGAAGTCAGAAAAATTACCCCAAAGCAACAAACCGATTCAAACACGTTATTTGGTGTTGCTGTGTCTAGAAGACACAAGTAAGATCCCCATCGTCAGGTAAGCTGCTGGTGAGCCCTCTGCAGCCAGGACTGCCACCTACAGCCCAGAGCTCACCAACAGGCAGAGAGGAGGAACAGACACAACAACAGTCTTTATGAAGATAGATAAGACAGCTCTTAGTGAGATACTAATACTGATGCTTTGCCTCATCTACTACCGATTTCAGCTCCACATTTAGTACCTTATCATGAAAAGTGGATCCTCCCGGATTTTGTTTGCCATATCCAGGACGGAATTGGCACCAGACTTGGCAAAAATGGAGCCCGGGAGAAGTCCCGTCTCACTGGAACAACCCGCGTCCTTGTCTTCTGCCTTCTCAAAGATGTATTTGTCCACAGGGCGGCCCATGAGGTATTCCTCTCTGTTCACCATGCCTCCGGGACCCTGGTACATCCACTCCAACTTCTCTTCTCTCTTCCTATTGCAAACAAGACCATCTTATTTTACTCCTCACAGTTCCAGAGTTACGTTTTAAGTCGTCAGCATTTAAAATAAAGGCGAGAGAGAACATTTTATCGCTAGAGATGTTACAGTGAGGGCTCTCTCAGGGCACCAGGAACACCTGCACCACCTCATCAGACAGCCCAGAAGCTGGCCAGGGCTGCTCACAACAGTCTGGGCAGCACCAGCAGCCCCTCACCTGACAGTGCCCATGTCCTCGGCGTAGCGCTGCATCTCCTCGCGGGCTCGCTCCTCCTGCAGCTCCCGCTGCAGCTCCTCGATCTTCTTCCGCTCGGCCTCATGCTTCTGCTCGGCTTTCCACACCTTCTCCACATTGCGCAGG